TCTTTATAAGACCATGCAAACACATCTTTGAACTCGTGCAACAATTCAATATAAGTCTCCTCTTGGTTGACAGCCAGTAAAGCGCTAATGTAGATTGGTCGAGGATTCTCCGTATCTCCTAAATTAATTTCCTTTAACTCATCGATCGTGGCTTTGATTCCTTCTTCAAGCTTGAATGGAGCAGTTTCAGTGTCTTCAATCACGTCTATTTCAGTTAAAGTGATATGATATGATGATGCCATACTTTCTTTGTCATCTTCCTCGTCGTCTTGGATTTTTGTAAAGACGATAGTTCGCATTTTAGCCTTTAACTCTTCACCACATGATATGGTCAAATAAGTACGCCGTTTCATGCGAGATGGAACCGAACTTCGAATCCTTCGTGTTTTGGTGATTTTTGTATTAGAGACACCCACATCTTGCTTGTTCCTTCTGTTATGCCCCCACTTTCTAAGTGGTCCAATCCTATCAAAGACGGATGGTGTAAGTCTATCAAACCCTCGTTTGTCGCCTTTTTCATGCCCCCACTCTCTAAGTGGTCCAAGTCTATCAAAGACGGATGGCGCAAGTCTATCGAAGACAGATGGAGTAAGCCTATCAAAGACGGATGTCCTTCTCACTTTTGTTCCACTTTCAAGAAAATCGTTTGTTGATGAGAATTCATCTTCGATTATGTAATTACTGGTAGCTCTATTGATAGCAATACGAATTGGATTTTGTGGAACAAATCCAAGACCAACTCGAGGAATTTGAATAGCATGTCCTTTTTCTTTCAACATTATCTGAGTAGTATTGAGGCCATGCATCTTTTCGCCAACAACTTCGGCAGGAAGCCTTCCAAGTGTAGAATCTTCACATGTGTTGTAACCGGCTTTCACTAAGAGTGTATAAGCTTTTGGGCCAAAACATTTTGTCATTTGGGACTCGGAGAATTCTTCGCATTCCTCTTAGGTTCCTTCTGTGGGACGGACAAATGCTTTAGGTGGTTGAGAAGTTGATCGCTTCTCATCAATTGGCCTGGTGTTAGGGGAAACATCAAATCTTTCAAAGCCTCACACGCTAAAGGATCCTTGTCTTGATTATTTTTTCCCTTTGGTTCTTCAACTGGTAGAATTTCTTAGGCCCTTTTGGTTCTTCAACTGGTAGAATTTCTTTGGCCTTTACCGTCTTCTCATCATCAAGACAGTACTTAGCATCGGCAAAGTGGGCTTCTGCCTCGGTGAACAGTTTATCATCGGCGAGTATTATCTTGACTACTCCGTCTCGACAATACTTGAAGAATTGGTGCCAAGAAGAAGGAACCACACTATTCTCATGTATTCAAGGTCGCCCGAGAAGCATACGATATGAGGTTCTTGCATCAATGACATGAAACAGCGGGCTGGACAACATATCATCCATTAACAACTCTATCCTTATGATACCAAGGGCCCTTTGTCCTTCTTGATTAAATCCTTGGATCATCAAGAGACTAGTTTTGAGCTCATCCGTGGAGATCCCTAATTCCTTTAAAGTGTGCAACGGCAAAATATTGACTGCAGAACCTCCATCGATTAAAATCCTATTCACCTTCTGCTCACAAGCGTAGCCGACAACAAACAATGGCCTATCGTATGGTTTGGAACCAAGAAGTAAATCTTCATCAGCGAAAGTCATTGTTGACATGCATTTACCAATCACGGTACAAACTTCATTTGGAGATAGAGTCATTCCACTAGCAGCGATCTCCTTTTCAATTATCGTGTTGCATGAGATGTTGATACAATCATCATCTCCTTTTCGTACGTTCGTTGTCGTCATGTCAGGGGACTCAAAAGTGCTGACGATAAAATTTGTAGTGGCGCTGGTCTCTTCAAGTGATATCTTCCCTTGGCGAGCTAGCTGCATAATTCTATCTTTGAATACGAAGCTATCATGAATTGGGTGCCCGACCAATCGATGATACTTGCAGTATTTTGGGTCATCGGTCTTGCTAGCTTCTTCGGGGCGCTTCATTTCAGGCAACTCGACAAGTTTTAAACTTAGCAAATCGTCAAATATTTCAGCCACGTCAGTGTTGAGGAACGGGTACTCCCTTGCTTGCATTTCTTTTAGGGTAAGTCTTCTTTCTCTTATTTCTTGGGAAAAATCTTGTTTTTCATTGTTTCCGTTCACTTTTCCTTGAAATTTGATAGGAGTTGCATTCATTGCCAAAGATTCTTTGCTTGAGGTCTTAGAGAAAACTCTACCCCCTTTCCGAAAGTCTTGTTTTTCTTTCGACTGTAAAGGCTCTTGAACTGGTGGTCCCTGAACTCCAGTAGCCATAATGCTCAACTCCATGTCGTGCGCTCTAGTGGCCAACTCTTCGAAAGTCTTAGGTTGAATCCTTTGCTAGATATATCGGAGTCCCCATTGCATTCCTTGATAGCTGAAGCCTCTGACAATCGATCCTTGCAATTCAGGCTTAAATTCCTCCAACGGTTAATATAATCAATGACGGCCTCTTCTTTCCACTGGCGAGAATTCGTGAGCTCGATCATGCTCACTGTTCTTCGGGTGCTGTAGAAGCGATTCAAAAATTCTTGTTCCATTTGACTCCAACTGTCAATTGAGTTCGCTCTAGGTCCGTGTACCAATCGAAAGCATTCCCATTCAATGATCAGACGAATTGTTTCACGAGGTAGTCTCCAAAAGTCCCGGCATTGTTACAAGTTTCAACAAAATGTGCCACATGCTGTTTTGGGTTGCCCTTGCCATCAAATTACTGAAATTTCGGGGGTTGGTAACCAATGGGCATCTTCAAGTAGTCTACTCTTAGAGTGTATGTCTTGGTGTATGTTGATGATGATTTTGAACCCTCATCGAATTTGTCCTTGATAGTCCCCATGACGAACTCCTTAAATTGGTCTATAGGAATCAACCCCTCTGACGAAATCTAGAATTCTTCAGCCGGGCTCTTCCCCCTTTCGATTGGATGTCGCCTTGCAGAAGTTTCAGCTTCGGTATGATTTTCACCTTGTTTTCCCATGTCGTGACTACCGTCATCCTTGTTCCTCAACATCGCGATTTGGGAGTCTTGTTCTTGAATGTGCTTTGTTAGCCCTTCAATGTCCTTGGTCAAGATTGCCATTTGCTCCTCCATGGTCGTAGGCTCGTAGCATGTGTTGTCATGATGGGGGCCACTTCAGAGTAGTTTGATGTTGAACGAGACGTGGATGATGAAGCTTCTCCTCTAGATCCTTCCACGCCTCCACCTATGTTGACGAGAGGTGACGAGCCTTTCTCAATGATTTGGGGTGTCGATCTATTCTCGGAGGATGCCTGCAGTTTCTTAGCCATACTCATTGTAACTACGCCCACACTTGATGAATTCGAAGTAGCAGTCTTCATCGCGAACTTAGAACAGTTACTGCAACACTTCGAGGATCTTCGAGACAGAGAAGATGAGAGGTAGAGATGTCCCACCGGGCGTGCCAAAATTTGTAACAACAAATTCTTATCTGCGATATAAACAAACAAGAAAAATTGAACAAAGATAATTTTTATTGAATTAAAATAAATAAATTACGGGTTACAATCTCTATTTTAATCCTCTTATTCTTCTCTCTAGAACAATATATTGTTGACTTGAATTTTCGGAGTCGGGTCTTTGACTTGATCTTCTCCGGATTTGATTTTGGATTTGAATAACGTTTTCCAAGGGTCTCGCGACTTGAATCTCGGATTGAACGTTGAACTTTGACTAAATTTGACTTGAAGATCTTGAAATTCTTGATGGATTTGGCCCTTCAATCTTCCAGTGATCGTGACTTGAATTTATTAACGTTGATCCGAAGGTTTAGCACCGTTATCTCGGACCGAACGCTGGATTTGATGAAGAACGCCTTGAATTTGCTTAAGAACACCTCGAATTTGACGAAGAACACTTTGAATGTAGAGAGAGAATCTTACCTCCCACGAATTCTTCTTCCTTGCTTCTTGAATTGTAGAGATAATTTTGCTCCTACGGTTTCTACTTCTTTAGTTGTGTTTGAATTGTGAAGGGAATGTCCCTATTTATAGTGGTAGAACAAGAGTCATTGATGTGCCTTCTTGATGACGTGACGTGATTTGATTGGCCTGATTTAAATTGATATTTATCTCTTGTACCTTGAAAAAGAAGAAACCTTTCTATTGGCCAATAATTAATTGATATTTATCTCTTATAACTTGGACGAGAAAAAATAATTCTATTGATCAATAATTAATTGATATTTATCTACGTGACTTGTCTTCCAAGACAAGATATAATTTAATTTAGACACAATTTAATTGGCTAATTTAATTAACCAATTAATTAAGAATATTCCATATTCTTCAAGAATATCTTAAAATGTAAATGGATCATTATAGTCTAATTCGTGAGACCTCTTATTATATACTCCAGCCATTTCCTATTCCTCCAAAGTTTTAGGATCCATATAGATATATGCGATAAGTGCATCCATATAATGCATTTCAAATAATTTGAATATCGTAAATTAATTGCATCGATCACATAAAACTATATTTTCCAAAGGATATTCGAATATAAGACAATGAATTCACCCACTGTTGCACTAAAAGTTCCAGACTTCAGGTGCCTTGACTTCAAGTCAATATGCAATTCATTATTCTCTAATTTCAAATATTTGTGGCCAATTATTATCAGATTCGTATGAATACTATAATTTAAATATCATTAATAAATTTTATTACAATAGTGTAGAATATTTTCCTATTATAATTATTATTGTCATTATTTAAATAGTCATTTTTCCACTTTTAAAATGATATTCCGTGCACGGCTGAGTAGTACTAGTATATAGTATGTCAAATTAGTAAATTAAGAAAAGGCTTCTCCACTTCAACAAAATCTAACCATATTATTCTAAAATTAATTCTAGAATAATATAAAATTAAAATTTCAACATTTCATGATCCCTTAATTATTACGTTGACAAATTATTAATAATTGAATTGATTAAAAAAAAGTTTTTGGAAACCTTTGCACTCATAATTTACCAAGAACAAGAGCAATGTCAATGAACTTGCAGATATCTTGTTTGGCCGTCTTCAGTTCCAATAATCTTCCATATTCGTCGTATAAGCTGTCCATTACCGCCTCCCCGAAATGGTGCGAAACCATCGGTTCTTGTACTGCTCGAACTGCTTTGGCTAACACCGGAACGTTGCTCGTCAAATTCATCTCCTTTTCGAACATCTCAAGATACTCTAATTTGAAGGAACCCTCTTCTTTTACTACATCTTCTATTTCTTCCTTGGATGCCCTATAATAGTGAACATCAAAACTTTCCAATTTCTCCTCCTCAATTATACCCTGGAACAACAAATTATATTAACATTGTTTAGAATATATGTAGCATATCAAAAATATTAGGACATGTAATAAGGTGGGGGATACATGCAAATATAACAAATATAGGAATATATTTATTTATATACAATAAATATGTCTCTATTTAATTACTTAAAAATTATATATTTTTCATATCTTCATATATATTGTTATCATCTATTAATTTACAATTGATTTGGGACAAGAATTAAGGAAGTAACTAAATTATTTGGAGATTTGCTATTGAAATGTGTTTCTATTTTTTTGAAAATTACAAAAATAACCCCTTATGAAAAAAATAGGTGACAACGTACGTACCTTAGAAACGAGAGCTCGGAGAGATTGATAAAGAAGTTCCCATAAAAATGTGTTGTCCTTACTGTAAAAGTCAGCACCATTTCTAACAGTGAAAACAAGCACCATCCGGCCTCCATGAACGAGTTCTCGGGAGCGTGACTTGAGAAACACGGAAAAGTCCTCTTTGAATTGTTTGGCGTATGCTTTGCAAACCTGTGGTGGACTGTTTTTCGATATGTATACGCTTTTTTTGTTCAAAGAGGTGCCTCTCTCGTCGTATAATCCTGGGGGAACCTGCAATTCAATAAAATTTTCGATAGTTTGTAGAAATTGTATACTATTTAATTTTTAGAACTTGATTGACTAGCATTTAAGAAAATAATAATTAAAAAAAACTAGGTCAAATTATTATCATATCCTTACGTTCGAACTAAATTATATATCAAAGATGCCTCTTGTTTGAGTAATTACGTTTAACTTTACATCAAAACCTAATAATGGTCTTTTTTTTTCTTATCGTCCGAACACTAACAAAATCTTTTAGTATTTTACGCTTTAACTAAACTGTAAGACCCCATTTGATTGGGGAGATTAACCAAGAGTAATTAAATAATTGGACTTTATTTGATGTTTATTATCCTCAATGACTAACCTGGTCGATTTGGAATATTATATTAACATGTCTTCTCTTGCATTATCTTGCCTTTTAGGGAGTTTTTTTTGTTGGGCGTTCGACGGTCAGATAAAATAATTGATTTTCATTGAATTATTATTTAATCTTATCTTGGCTAATCCTATCTTGTCAACGAGGCCTAAATAAACAGTTTTTTTCACTCAAATAAGAGGGATTTGTGTTTTCCCTAATTTAGTCTATAACTCGTTATTGGGGTGTTTGTAGTTTACCCTAAAAACAAATCTGGATATGTGTATTAATTTTGGATAATACTTCAAATATGCAAAGTAAATTTTATAATTCACACAGAAAAAAAAAAACAGAGAGAAGAAGAAAGCATACATACCCTGGATAGCCAGTGCAAACAGTTGAAGGAATAGACAAAGTGCAAGCTATTTTCCGGGAAAAGTCTGCCAAAAAAACTGCCCGGAAAAGCACCTATAAAAATATTGCTCCTAATTGTTTTATTCAATTCCTCGTACAAATCCGGCAATGCCTGAAATATTGTGTTGAAGTCGTTTGTCGGAAGATCATTCAGACAAACCCGGATTTCATTAGGCGCTGGCTGCTCAAATTTCTTAGCCGTGTTCTGTACTGCGCCCACGATTCTTTTAACGTACGACATAGCGTTGGAACCCGATGAGCATCCAAGATCAGCTATTCCTAAGCTTTTCGGCCTTAGTGTTACGTACATTTCTTCTATGGCTTCCATGGTTATGCCCATCATCTTCTCCGCTACACTTTTCTGTCGATTAAATGATAATGATACTCGTAACTCACGCCATATATATATATATATATATATATATATATATATATATATATATATATATATATATATATACACACACACTTAACTTTCATCGAAAATATAGTTTTTTTTTTTAATTTAATTATTTTGGGAATGGAAGTAATGCATAACTTTTGTACTTAGCAATCAAACTATATGAGAATAAAATGGAAGAGACATATATTTTTTGAAAGAAGCTAGACTAGTGTTAGAAATAAAGTAATTTATTTGAAAATACCAATTAAATTATATATGTAAATTCGGGGAATTTTCGATTTAATTTTGGAAGCCAGGGTTAAATAATAAGGTGTCAATCAAATCTAAAAACTTTGTTTTAATGAATAAAAAGTGACCTGAATTGAAGAATTGTTGAAATAGCTTGTCTCTCCAAGCCCTCCCTTCATGTGGAACACTTTCTCCACATCCATGATGATAATAAAAAATAACTAGTCTAATTTAGTTAAGATGCATTATATATATATATATATATATATATATATATATATATATATATATATATATATATATATATATATATATATATATATATATATATATATATATATATATTTGTCGTATGCATGAAATGGTAACAATAGTTGAGGAAATTAACAATTTTTATATTTGATATTCGATTCGAGATTGGTTATTATAAACTTGTTTAATTTGATAATTGTTAATCCAAGCACATCAAACAAAGAAAACTGGAAGACGATGAAGATTACGTTGGGGAGTCAAAGTTTAAGGGCTAGTTTGGTTAAACTTATTTTAAACAACTGACAAAATCTTTACATCTGATAAGATGTTTAAGAATTGATAAACTACTACATCTTATTTTCTGAATTAATTTGTAAAGTAATTGAATAATAAACTTATTTGTTATATTTACTCATTATAAGATGGGTGGAAATATTTTTTTTTTAAATATTTCAACAGCTTATTTAAAAACAAAAATTAAAGTTTTCTTAAAAAAATACTATCAAACACTTTGGAAAAACTTATAAACTTGTAAACATCTTATAAATCATTTTTAACATCTTATAAATTTAGCCAAACACCGTGTTTAATTTGGCATGTCGTTTAAGGAATCGTTAGATTCCCCGTTTGTGAGCATCTAGAACTAAATAATTAGAATAATATATTTTGGGCACATGGCTGCTTTCGGGATTTATTTTTTTTAGTATTTTTAAGATAACATTTTAATTAATGAAAGGCCACATCACCACAATTTATTATTCATTATTGAACTATTTTGAATATAATATGATTTTGTACTCATATTAAAACAAAATGAAATACAAGAGCATCTTAAACCTATAGTGGATTGGCATCTTAAACCTTGTTTTTATCTGTCATCACTAGGCCAAAATGGTCGACTGGCGACGAAATTTGGCGACGACAATGTCTATTTGGCGACGATTTTGTACTGTTTGCGACGAATTATTTTCGTCGCCACATCCTACAAAAAACGTCGCCAAACGTCCCGTCGCAAGGTCGGCGACAAAAAGTCATTTTCGATGGAAAGTTTGGCGACGAATTTAATAAATCGTCGCAACATTCATATTTTCTGGAAAAAAATGTTTTTTTAATATTCGCGACGGATCCTATACTTTCGTCGCTTCCCAGTTGCGACGAATAAATAATAAGTCGCAAACGTTGGCGACGAATTATCTTTTCGTCGCTATATTCAGCGACGTTTTGTGACGGTTTCCTCGCTACGTTTGTGAAAAATGTTTGCGACTAATAGCCGTTTTTGTCGCAAGGCCACGATTTATTGGCGACGATTTGTTTTATTTATTCGTCGCTAGGTTTTTTTTTTAATATAATTTCTGGTTTATTTATTTTTTCAATTAACAAATTCAACCTGTATTCAGCAGTTGTACAAAAAAAAAATACACTTATATCGAAAATATTAAAACCAATTATACGGATTAAATATCAAGGTAGCACAAAACATAAATTAAAAAAGTACATAAAAGCTTAAAAGCATATAATGTAGTGTTGCAAAGTTTAATTCAAAAACCAAACAAAGTTCATCCCTTTTTATACTCCACCATCATTGGAAGGAGTCGATGTCGAGGCTTGTAGTCCAAAACGGCGGACCAAGGTGTTCACAATTTCTCGGGTTTCTTTCAATTCCGCTTCCAATCTTTCCATTTTTTCATCTTTAAGTTGCATTTGCTCTTTCATTGAATTCATTTCCATTTGCACTTCCGGCGGAATTGAAGAAAATCTCGACTTTGAACTCTTTGTGGTGGTTGCAATCTTAATTCCAAGCCCTTTGCTTTTTCCGAGCACTTTTTCTATCGCAATTGAGTTGGCCGTGCTTTCGTCACTTCCATCACGAATTGTCTCATCGTACACTCGTTCCAAATCAGTCTGAAAATGATTAAGTACACTTGTTTAGCAAAAATTTCGACAACATAACAACTAATAAATGAACATCCCCAGAAAAACCATCCATGTATGCAACAACATTATTTAAAACAAATATTCATGAGAAATAAGCAACTATTCAACTGTTGTCCAGACACGAATTTAGCGATGACGAATTATTAGATAAACGAACATAGTTGTTTCTTGGAAAAAATGGCGTGCCTAAACAGTATGGAACTTGAAATAAAGAAAATGAATGTATATACTATTTGTATCACTTGCATCTTGTTGTCTACTATTTGATAAACACAGCACAAACACGAACACGACACTTCGAATGAAAGAAATGATTGGAATTTATTTAACTAAGAAAAAATATTTTGATATGATGAAATCAACAGTTTCAAGAAAATACCTTGGTTGTGATACTTAGGCCGGTAAGTAGCTAGAAGCCAAGCTTTCCCAATCAACAACCTGCTTTCCCTTATAATCGTTCGACACTCCAACTTGGGGTACATTTGCAGGTGCAAAAGGGCCAAACTGGTAACTCTTTGCACCCATTGTAGTTGTTCTATCATCCTCGTTTTCGGTCTCGTTTTTGACTCGCATTAGGTTAACTGGCTTCAAGATTTGAAGCCCATCTTCATCAACCTTAAACCTCTTTGTTGTATTAGTTAAATCAGTCCCAAAAATCCTCTTCTTTGAGTCCATTATCAGGTTTTCCATTCAGCCCTAACCATCTAAAAGCAGGTTTTCTTGTCTCAGGGTGATGAATCTGTATATCGTACAGAATAAGTGTTAAAATTATGAATCCACATAACGAGTTTCATAAAATTAATGTCGAATTAGGATATACGATGAATCCAGATACGATGCATCCGCGTATTTTATGGCTCAAAGAAAAATCGGAATAACAAAATTAGAGTATGGAAGAAATGAAAGGACAACGAAAAGCACTCCGGTTAGGCTCATTTTATCTAGGGGCAATTTGTTAAGCACCGGAGATTTTACTTCTTGATAAATCCATAATTTGTAATTGATATTTAACATAATTAATTGTGCCTAAAACACTTATATGCACCCACTAATTAGTATAATTATTTTAAATTAAAAATATGGTGAATTAAATGCATAATCTCTCCCGAAATCGCATTATCTAAAAATCCTCTCATTATTTCTCCCCCTAAAATCACGCTCGAAATCCACTCCGGCAAAATTGCATTACCTAATTATTTCGTTAATTTGTTTATCACATCTAATCTTTCTCCATCTCTCCACAAATCTCGCCCCCCACTTCCCCAGTATCTCATAAATCCATTTCATCTTTTTCTCTTGATCCCCAAAAACCGCAACAATGACTTCACGTGTATTGTAAGAAAATCTACTATTATTTTCGGACAAAAACTTCTTCTCTTTAGAGCAAACAACATACATATTTTGGTTCAACGTCACACAAGCTTTTCCGGTAAAAAAAATTGACGTGTATTACAGTGGAAATGGCAAAATTCACTTTCCACAAGAGTGGAATTTATGCGCGCGAAAACCACCATGTGAGCAAAAACTACTCTACTTGCAAAAACCACTCAGCGTGCAAATACCACTCTTACATTCAACTTTAAAATCCTGCATTGTGTCAAAATCACTCTGTAATTTAAAAAAAAAATGGACTCATTGTAATTACACTTATATGATGGGGAGTTTTGTCAAATAATCCCTTTTATTTATTTATTTATTTTGCTCAAACTGAATATGAACTAATTATTTCAATTTTTATATAATAAAAATTAAAAAAATCAAGCATATCGGTTATATAAGGTTACATAACAGTTCAGTTCAATTATTTTAGTTTTTTTTTTTTTTTTTTCTCTCCTTTTGTTTTGTGGTTCAAGATCAATCATACGTTTTAGAGGAAATTGGCTAAACACCGCTTATAGGACGAGCGTGTGTGTATATATATATAAAAGTTGTTAGATAAATATAGGTGTAGGTTCCTTGAACCCTTGAACTATAAAATTGATATGAATTAAATTAAATTATTAGTATATATACATAAATATCCTCAATTAATATTTAAATTAAAATATTATTTTGTAAAATTAAGAAACAAATCTCATATATCACTCTCCTCTTTCACGTGTCTCTCTCTCACACGTTTTTCTCTTAAAATTGCATACAACGACAAAATGGAAAATACAATTTGCATCAACAAGTTTCAAACTGCAACAACAAAGTAAAAAAATACAAACATTATGATAAACAAACTGCAGTTTTGCACCAGTAAAATAATATTGAAAAAATAATGGGAGAGAGAGATAGAGAGAGAGAGGGGTAAATATAATTATCAATACCATATGGACTTTAAAGTTATTTAACAGATCTGATAGGTGCAATTGTAATTTACCTATATTTATTAGGGGTGTTTTTAACACAATATGAACAATAGATTTAATAAAAAATGTGACTTATGACTTGAATTTATTCACATATAATCTAATGTAGAGAGACTTATAGTAAGAATCAATATCAAATCACGGAACTTAAAAGGGGCAAGGGAGGTTGTGGCCCCCCTAAAACTATTACTCTATATTTGCACATTTGCACAATAGTGGACGTGCAAGTGGACAATAATAGTAATTACCGGACTCGAATCCTAAACATTTATCCTATTGGTAAAGGCTACGTACTAACTCTCCTAATGAGGGTTGATATATTTTCACAATCTTAATCTCTATTAAAATTCACAATATTTTTTTTTTATGTAAAACAAGAAAGTATTTATTTTTTTCCTTTTATTTCTATGTATTTCTAGATTTTCATTTCTTTTAGTATTTTTACTCATTCAACTAATGCATACTATATTATAATATAGGGTGAATGACAAAAAAACTCATTCCAAGGGATTTAAATGCACATTGGTGCACCCAAAAAAAAAAAAAAAAAGTCTTTCAAACGCACCCATCCTCATGTCTTTAGTCAAAAATACCCTCCATAATATATTTTTTTGTCAATTCCATCCATTATGCTCTAACTTCCTTAATATTACACATTGATCCTGGATTTAGACAAATATATCACATTAACCCCCATTTTAATAATTTTTTGAAAAAATATTTTTTTTTTGAAAATAATTTTTTTTCTGAAATTTGTTTTTTCCGACCAGATTCCGGCGTTGACCGTCGGAAACCGCTGGTCTTCAACGTTGACTTTTTTTTTTCCTGAATTTTTTTTCTGGCTGGTCAACCACCGTTACCGCCGGTCTCCGTCGTTAACTTTTTTTTTCTTAGATTTTTTTTTTAATTAATATTACTGTCTTGGCTGCTAAATTACTGTCTCAGACAGTAATATTACTGTTTGGGACAGTTATATTACTATTTGGGACAGTAATATTATGAATATTATTTTCCCGAACAGTAATATTATTAATATTACTGTCCCAAACAGTAATATTATTGCATGTGACAGTAATATTACGGTCGGAGACGGTAATATTACAATCGAACATAGCAAAAATGCAGGCCACCAAGACGATAAAATTAATTAATACAGTAATATTACTGTCTCAGACAGTTAAATTACTGTTGGAGATGGTAATTTAGCAGCCAAAACTGTAATATAAATTAAAATAATTTTTTGAAGAAAAAAAATTTCAAAAATAAAAAAACTCAATTAACATTTAAATTACTGTCTCCGACAGTTAAATAACTGCTGGAGACAGTAATTTAGCAGCCAAGACAGTAATATTAATTAAAATATTTTTTTTAAGAAAAAACAAAATTATAAAAAAATAAAAAATAAATAAAAAAAGTCAACGCCGGAGATCCGGCGGTCAACGACGGTTGACCTACCAGAAAAAAATTCAAAAAAAAAAAGGTCAACGCCGGAGACTGGCGGTCAACGGTAGCTGACCGGCAGTCTCCGGTGGTGGCGGGTCAAAATTGGGGTCAAAATTGTAATTAGAGTTAAAATTGGTTAATTGATGAAATTGGGCTAAATTGGGGTGTAAATCATGAAATTGGATTTGAATTGGGTTTCAATGAATTGCGGGTAATTTTGGTATATATAAAATGATTTTCTTTATTTGCATTTTGCAAATAAGTTTGAATAGGCATGATTTATTTGAAAGACAAAAAAGTTGGATGCCCATCTTTTAAGTGAGTGCCCTTGTCATGAGCCTATTTACCATTTGCCCTATAATTTATTTTACTAAATGTCTATAAATATTTTTCTTGACAATAATATCTATCCTTGATTAACCCTCTCAGTTTTCCGCCCCCAACCGAAAAATCCTAGTTCCGCCACTAATTATTTAATTAATTAAAATCTCGATTAAAAAAATAATATAAAATAATTTAGATGATGCATGTACTCTTATCATTTTATTGTCATTAATCTCATGGTTAAAATTATGTGGTATAATTTTGTCCAAATTATGTTAAGCTCTTCTCTGAACGAATAAGATCCAACTTTCCAGCTAAATCGGTAAGCAATGGTTGATCCAATTCAGAGCTCTAAACCAGACATGCTGAATTTGTTTTCATTGATCGAACAAGAGTTCAAATGTATATAAGAGGTCATTAAATGCAATCAAACACGCCCTTAGTTATTGTATCCGATGGTACTTTTCTATTCTAAACGGTTCAAATGGCTCAATTTTTTGGCCTTGTTCGTGCCCATTATTAATTTCAATTAATTAAATAGTCATTGTGCCAGTGTACTCACGAATTGGAAAAATGTGTTTTAGGAAGAAAACACATTGAGGAAAAAGTAATGTTCATTTGTAGTTTAAGAAGAGACAATTCATACTGAAGCAGACAAACGATCTTGTCTGAATAAGATAGAAACATTTGATTTTTTTCAAGAGGTTATAAAACATAAATTTTAGGGCAAATAGCACTTCATCCCCTCAAAAACCCTATTTCAGGGCTTTTTTTCCTTCGTGAATCTGAATTTTATATTTGGAGTCAGCGCTTCATATCCTTGAAGGTCTTTTAGGGTCGGGGGCTCCATTTCCTGGAAAAAATTGTCCAATAATTTTTGTTAGTTATCTATTTGACACCAGATTTCAATCCCTAATTCTCTCTCCCCCTCCGCACGTTCTAGTTACGAGTTTTCAGTTTTTTTGCGGAACCATCTTAACGCTTTCATGGAAAGTTCTTCTACCGCCATCAATTCAACCACTGCCACCATCCATGCAACTCATGTCCAGTGGCGGATCTGGCTATGGTCTAGGGTGTGCAGCTGCACACCCTTGATTTCAAAATAAAATTGTACTGTTATACATAAGTTAATTGAAATGGCTAGTGGTTGAGGTGGTAAAGAGGTTCTTCAGACATTAATAGATCCTGGATTTGATATCTATGCCTCTCATATAGTGCTTTTTTTTTCCCACCTCTTTTCTCTTTAAATATTCCAAAAATTTTCTAAAATTTGCAAAGGGTAAATTTTTGGTCCACTATTTTTTTTTAAAGTAATATTTAAATTTTTATTCTACGCAATTTCGAACACCCTTGGCAAAAATCCTGGATTCACGGCTGCTCATGTCGCTATGGACGTCGAAGCAAACTACCGCCACCATCAATGCAACTACCGACGATTCGAGCTCAAGACCTGACCTGACAACACCCCCGTCGTCAGCAAACTCTAGAAGTGCGCCGACTTCGCGTGCAGGCGTTAATGCTCGGCTTCAAAATTGACAAAATTACCCTTCCAAATTACTCAAATCCGACTAGGATTTCACACGAAATGCCACAAATAGTATATTTTGAAGGGGTTGTCTCTTTTTATATTTTTTTGGGGCAAAGTGCAAAAATGGGGTTTTTTGAGGGGTGAAGTGCTATTTGCCCTAAATTTTATTTGGGGAAATATTGGGAGGACTTGAAAAACCGGGCCAAACATATATAATCAACCTTCTAAGTATAAAAAGCTTTTGGATTGCCAACGAAAAAACGTACAAATACAATTATTTTAAGAATGAAAAAACATGAAAACCAAAGAATCAAAGGGGAAAAAATGAAAAAAGAAAAAAAAAAAAAAGAAAGAGCAAATAAGACGAGGGCTCGCTTAGTCTTGCGTTGTCTTTTACTTAAACGGATCTCATAACCCATACTATTATTATTATTATTCATCATAAAGTTGCTTTCGATAACTTTAATATTTATTTTCGACCTGTATAACACATGAAACCTCAATATAATACTTACTCGATCTTCTCCAGCTCACATTTCTCTTCGACTTTTTTTTCGTCTTCTCTCATTCTGTACTAATAATTAAACGATGCATATTTCATTGAAGGAAGCTTATTATAAAATTCTGACGAACAATTATTCTGATGTCATCTTTCGCGGAGTGGTTGTCGCCGTAGTTGTCGCGATATTAGTCGGATGGTTTCGGAAAGGATGTGAGAGAAGAATTAAAAAAGGTGAAATTCCCGGAAAACTTGGTGTTTCTTTCCTCGGAGAAACTTTTTCTTTCCTAGCTGCTGCAAACAGTACAAGAGGTTGTTATGATTTTGTCAAGCAACGACGAATAAGGTACGCATACAACTTACGGAACTAACTAAGCCCATTTTAGTTTTTGGGAGAAGAATTTGAGAAATAAAGTGAATTTTGTTTATATTTTAGTAGTAATTTTATATTTTAACTATAGGTTAGTCAACTCGTGTCTGAAAATCTAGATTTTGGTTTAGTTTTGGGATGATAAAACTACGGCGAGTTTCGAAATCCTCAAAGAATTTAGAATAAATCCGAATATAGCTAATAAAGAATTATGCTATTTTCTACCACAAATAAAATTGGAATTTAATTTAGGATCCTTGAACTCACTGGCGGAGTCAGCATAGGGCTAGTTGGATCATGCATGTGGGCCCCCCCTGCACCCGCAACGTTTCTCTAATCCCTATTATTTTATATAAGGATTTAAGTTTAGTTGTGTATATATAATAACATTATCAGATGTTTTGATGCATATGCTTTGGAATTAATATTCAGGCATGGGAATTGGTTCAAGACGAGAATTTTGGGGCACGTTCACGTTTTCGTTCCTAGTACAGAAGGAGCGAAAAGGGTGTTGGCGAGCGATCATGCGGCGTTCAACAAACGGTTCTTGAAATCAATGGCGGATGCGGTTGGAAAGAAAAGCTTGTTAGGTGTACCTCAAGAGATCCATCAAAGGATCCGTCGTTTGCTTTCGGATCCTTTCTCCATGAATTCAATGTCCAAATTTGTCCCGAAATTCGACCTTGAGTTGTGTGAGAGACTCAAGAGATTAGAGAATGAAGGAAAAAGTTTCAGAGTGCTTGACTTCACCACCAAGGTATCCTGAACATTCTTCTAATTAATTATTATCTAACTCATGTGGAAATTAAAAAAATAACAAAGAAGGAGTTCTTCTTTATTCATTCAAAATAACACAAGATACTTTATTTTTTGCAATTAAGGTGGCATTTGATGGAATATGTGAAATGTTGATGAGTGTGAGAGATTATTCCACACTTAGAAAACTCGAAAGTGATGTTGATGCCGTTAATGAAGCCATGCTTTCGTTTCCTGTTATGTTTCCAGGCACTAGATACTACAGAGGAATGAAGGTACGTAGGTGCGACGACTTACAAACGAACCATCATTTATTCTTTTTTTTTTTTTTCCTTTGGCAAGATAGGATTAGCCAAGATAAGATTAAATAATCTAATGAAAATTCAATTATTTTATTGGATCCTCGAAGGTTCAACAATAAAATCCTTAAAAGGCATGATGCCGCATAATAACATAATATTTCTGGGCCGACCCGGAAAGTAATTTGGGTTTACCAAATATCAAACAAACTCCAATTATTTAGTTAAACATGTTTTTATCTCTCTAACCAAACGAGGTTTTATGGGTCCATTATATATAACTTATGTAGAGGTTGTATTATTGTATTTTTGGATATAAATGTTCTAAATAGTTTTTCATTACATGCACATTGAGGTGTTGTTCTAATTAAAATGGTGAAATTATATATATATATATATATATATATATATATATATATATATATATATATATATATATATATATATATATATATATATATATGATTAGGCAAGAAGAAGGTTAATGGAAACCTTCACGAAGATGATTAGCAAGCGACGAAGTGGAGAGGAAGCTCCTGCAGATGATTTCCTGCAATCGTTGTTGGAGAGAGATTCATATCCACCGGAAGAGAAGTTGGACGATCAAGAGATTCTCGATAATCTATTGACGCTCATAATTGCCGGCCAAAGCACCACTGCAGCTGCCATAATGTGGTGCGTCAAATTCTTGGATGAAAATAAACATGTTCAACATACATTAAGGGTACGTATGTTACACATTCCATATTATTCAAACCCTATTAATATTTATCAAAAAGTCATCTTTAATTTCATATCGTTTTGAGATCAGCTATAATTAATAGCACTAACATAATGCAATTAGCAGGAGGAACAACTATCAATACTTAGAAAGAAACCTGATGGAGCCCTACTCAAATATGAAGATCTCGCGAGCATGTCTTATGCTTCAAAGGTTAGAGAAAATCTAAACCAAACAACGTACTTATTTTATATACATACGCGCGCAGTAGATTATATAAATATCAAATGATTCACCTTACTCTTACTACTAACAACCAGTACAAGAAAAAGTTGCATTAGCGACACTGTGACAAATGCAAAAGTTGTCACTAAATGCATACATTAACTACAACATCTTTTTGTTGTCACTTAATTCTTACTTATTGTCACTGTAGAGCATTAGCGACATCCTGTTAGTAACAACATCTTTTGCCCAACTATGTTAAAAATAGGTGTTGTCACTCAATTTTTTTAATTTTTTGTTTTGTAGCGAACATAAATTTTTAGAGGAAACGGTCATTCAAATTCAACAATGTCATTGGTATTTTAGTTATGCAAAGTAATCAAGTATTGTTTTATTAGGTCGTCAAAGAGACATTGAGGATGGCTAATGTCTTGCTATGGTATCCTCGAGTTGCTCTACAAAATTGCACCATTGAAGGCAAGTTGAGGTTTGAGAATTTAGGACCCAAAAAAAAAAAGAATAATCAAGTTGAAAAAACTAGAAATGAATTCTACAAAATTTGTGTGGTGTGCAGGTTATGAGATAAAGAAAGGTTGGAATGTGAACATTGATGCAACTCAGATACATTATGACTCGACAACGTACGAGGAACCGTATCGTTTCAACCCTTCTAGATTCGATGTAATAAATAAAATATCACATCTACTACTAGTAATTAATTGCTTCTCTTTTAATGATCATTGCCAATGTTTTGTATTGAATATATATTGGTTTTTTTTTTTTTTTTTTTTTTTTTCAGGAAATGCAAAAGCCATATAGTTACATACCTTTTGGCACAGGACCTAGGGCATGCTTGGGCATCAACATGGCAAAAGTTACTATGCTCGTATTTCTACACCGGTTGACGAGCGGATACACGTAAGTCGATTCGCGTACGCTTATATTATTCTTGATTCATTTATTTTTTTTTTCTTTTTACAAAATCATATTTTTTTTTTAATTTGAAGATGTTGAATTGCTAAAAAAAACTCCTTATATTATTAATATTAGCAAAAATCCCAGTATGGTGAATTTTTTTTAAACAATCACTAAATTGTGAGTTTTTAGAAATAATTTGTTAAATAAGTTGAATAATAGGAATTAAAGTTTTTAACGATTAGAGTGATGGTTTTGATACCAATCCTTCATACTTTTACGCAAAAAAAAAAAAAAAAAAAAAAAATAGTTTGTTAAACATTACCATGGTTACTGCATTTGATCCACAATAACCCACATTTTTTAAAAATACTTTTGTCCACTAATACTACATTAAATGCATTTTTTTTCTTTTTGTTTTAACCTTATTAATTCACTTCAAACATTAACTATATTTTATAAATAATAAATGGTGTTTTGAATTTTGTATGTATTTTTCTTAAAATGAAGTGACATTTATTGAGTTTCTTAATACGTATACGAACATGGAAAAAAGACGACAATTAAGGAACAAGATGAAGTAATTAGATTGTGTTTATTATTGTGACATGATGTAGGTGGACGGTTGACGACGAGGATCTTAGCTTAGAAAGGAAAGCTCACATACCTAGATTACAAAGCGGATGCCCAATCACTTTAAACCGATTGGATGACACAAACACATGATTTCTACATAATTGGTTTTCTTCTGCAATTTTATTTATGTATAATAATGAAAAAAGGTTTGAATTTCATCCACCCCATTTGTGTTAATTTGCTGCATCTTTGAAAAACGATCAATATAATCATGGAAAGGTAAACCAAGAAACTAAGGGCTTTTTTTATCGGGGAGATTAGTCATTATTAACTAAATAATTGGATTTTATTTGATATTTGGTATCATTAGTAACTTGCCGAGTCGATCCGCAAATATTTTGTTATCATAGATTATCTAGGCATGTTTCTCACTAATATTATAATAATATTTTAGGTAAAAAAATATATGAGTCAAATAAGTTTATCAGTTATAACGGGTCATGTATTTTTCTTGTCATTGGGTCGATAAATAGACCTTATGTTTCCAAACACGTGACAACATTTAAAAACTAAAAGTTACTTATAAGTAGTACTATCCAAACATCTTAAAAAATAATTTTTAAAATAAGATGTAATACCATATCAGTTCCTAAAACATCTTATCAGATGTAGGAGCTTATAAGATGTTCTAAATAAGTTTTCGCCCAAATGGGCTCTTTATATGTGTAGAATTAAAAATTATGTAACTAATGCAATATTGGAATTACAAAGTGACATTTACATGAAACCGAAAAAAGGGCAAGGTTCACTTTGCACCCCTAAATTATGAGGTGTGTCGTGTACACACCCTTCAATTACGAAACGTACCAAATATACCCCTACATTTATGATCAAACTTACAAAAATATAAATACATTAGTCTGTATTGTTTTTTTGAAGATTACAATCTTACCCCCACATGTAGTCTACGGAAAATATATGTCAATTTTAGTATTTAGAAATATTGAAGGTATAATAAGAAATACAAAGTCACTATCTCCTTTCATTTTTTTTTCCAACATAACTCATCTTGCAAACAATACTTGGATGATTTTAAGCAATTGTTTAGCTTATTTTAATATTATATTAAATTGAGCATTTTTTTAGGCTATAATGACATGTCATTTTTTTGTAATTAAAATCCATCATGGAGGCCTGTTTTAGGAGTTTGAATATGTTGTGTGTTTGACTTATATTGAGAGATATTTACTCTAGTTTAACCTATTTTGAGATACTTGGTTTAATTAAAGATATTAGATATCCAAAATACTAATGTGATTTGGTTCGGATTGCCATATGAAATTGAGCTCATGATGACAACTAGAGTTGAACATTATAGTGAAATTAAAAAGAAAAAATAAGAAAAAAAAAAACTAATTTCAAATGAATAAATTAATAAGACATATAAAGGTAAAAAAAAAATGAGGGATATATAGGGGATGTTTGGTTATGTTTCCAAAATGAATTTCTAGTTTTCAAAATTTCTGATGGAAAAAGTAGATTATTGGATTTTGTGTAGAAAATGGGAATATGTTTGGATGAAGGTGTATTTTTAGTTTTATGTAGGTGTAGAAATGAGAATATGTTTGGTTGTGGTGAATTTTCTCTACGAAAGTACGTGCAAAAGTAGAATATAATTATTGATGATGATGATAGTGATGATGATGAAGATTATTATAATTATAATAATAATAATAATAATAATAATAATAATAATAAT